CTCTATTAACCAATACTTATTATTTGTGAAAATTCATGTATAATCAAAGTAGTTGCGTTATTGCTGAGATAAGCAGGCGTCGATTGCATTGGAATGTACCGTGCTGCAGCGACCACAGCGGCGACGGCGACTGTGATTGTCGAAGCAACACTTTTCTCTCTCACATCGGAAAAGTGCGATGTTTTGATAGAGACGATGGCGCTCTAACGGCTTGGTGGTTGAATTGTTTTTATAGCAACGGGCGCCGTTGCGCGAACGTACCGCTCATATTCTGTGCGTATGTCCCCAGAGAAGCTTTATGCTTTCATCATTTTCGTCAACAACAATTCGTCTTTTTCCGTTGAACTTACCCTTCTTGGTTTCTTTCCCCATCTGTTTTTTTTTTTGAAAATTTTACTCTTTTTTGACCGTAGCTTTTCATAACAGTTTCCACCGCGATGCCATCGTAGTGCTAGTTAGCGACGGGCACTTTACCCTCAAACGTGGTTGAAGCTCACGTACCTGTACCTGCTATACGGACATTGTGCTTGTCCGCAATCTATTAAAGCTGTTCCATGTATTTCACTATAGTATTTCCACATTTCTCTAGTCATCACATCCAGGAGACTCAGTTGAGTAATACGTCCTGGAAATCACGTGTTATGGTTACTTAGCATCCCATTTGGAGCAAGGATCCCCTGGGTCACATAGAAGCTCTATTTCATGATGCAGCCGCTAATAGAAAGATGAACGATGTTGGGTTCTGCCTGTGAATTTATGTCCTATTTCCTCACTATGAACCTAACATTTAGACTTTATCTGCTGGTTGAGCGTTATCGGGTACCGATGAAGATAATGCGATTTTCAGGTACTGGTTTGATCCCACTAGGTTGTAGACATCGCCTTCGAATTATTCATCTATATCCTTCAGTTCTGTATCTAACTTCATCTCCTTTTCATAATACAGATCATTCAGGGTGGTTCACTACGTGACGAAGGGTTCGTCGATCAAAATGCTTATTCTGAGTGGCACAGGTTCATAGGGACTATTTAGAGTTCGACCGCACTCCTGGCTTACCTCACCAAGATAGTAATCGCCAACGGTTGCCGAGACCGGTATGGCTTCTCCAAAGATAAGACTTGAAGAGGATTGGGGCGATTCTGGCATGCTATTAGTGACAATCAAAAGTGCTAGCCAATATTCAACAGTGCCAGTTATAACAAACTCAACAGTACTCGAAAAGAATATAATTGGGTACCTTCAGATCCCACTGTTTCCACCGACCCACGACGGGTTCCTGGTCACGCGTTGACAACACTCGACATCGACGGATCAAGCGCCCTCACAACTCTCGAACACAATCTATCCTGTGTTGTCGATACGTAGCCAGGAAGCCTATCCGTTGGTCGGTCGGTAGAAGCAATGCACGTCGGTGAAGCCTAAATGCATCCATTTGCTTTCATCGAACACTGTCTCAGTGGCTCAGACGGACGAAGCGTAAGCTCAGTCTGAGCCATTCTAGTTTTAACAGAATCCGACCGAATCGTAATCCTTTTCCTTCTGTAACTACGTTCGCTGACAGCATAGAATTTCTGCTGATATTAATAAAATGCCCTTCTGTAAAGATTCTCCGAGGAGTGGTGGAAATATAGATGGAGGGTGTCACCATGCTCCGCCTCTTAATGGTTAAAGGCACAGTTCACGATAATTCAATGGGCGGGGACGTCAATGACGTTCCCGCCTCTCGATCGAAGTCACGTCAGACGGTCAGGCGAGTGTCGAGGCAATACAGATTGCGGATTTTCGTTCTAGGACCCACACACAATCAGCTGTCGCCGAGTGATGAGGCGATGTTTTTCTCCCATTCTTTTTTCCTCTGCTATTCCTCTGGCTGCGGCGATCCCTTATTTAATTTCCTACTCCTAGAGGCTGTAAAAGGTGAGCAACTTTTGGGTACTATTCTACTATTACACCCCCAAAAACTCAAAATTTTAATTTTCGATGAAACTTCGCCTATAAAGGTAATCCGATGCCCCGATAATGAATATGACTTTCACTTTTGGCGCTGGCGCCATTTGGCGCCAATTGGCGCCAAGGGTGTTTTCACCAAATCTGCTGAAAACTTGCATTCGGGGTTATTTGAGGTCCTGATAACGAAGATAACATTAATTTTTGGCGCTGGCGCCAACGCCAAAATTGAAGGTCATATTCGTTATCAGGACATCGAATTACCTCTATAGGCAAAGATTCATCGGAAATTAAAATTTTGAGTTTTTTGGGTGTAATAGTAGGATGGTTCTGGGGGTGTAATAGTAGAATAGTACCAACTTTTGCTGTTACTAGGATTTTTTGCTTACTCATGCTTATAAGTGAATGAATTTTCGCTTACCATTGTCCTTTATTCGCATCAGGACCCACACGTACGCAGTGAGACACATTGTACAGCTCGTCCAAACGCCCCACTCTTCTTCATTTTTCTGAACTCATTCTCGTCCAGCCCCCTGTTTAGCGGTTTTTCGATGCCCTTTTTTCAGTTTGGAAACACCGATTCACGCAGTTTCTCCACCATCATCGCACTATTTTCGATCTTGTCGTCCATTTTTCACCATAATCTGGACTACCCAAAATTATCGTGAACTGTGCCTTTAAGAATGGCTTTGTAATTTGTCGTGGCCTCTAGAGATTACTCTGAACAAGGGAATTGAATCCTTCGCCCAAGTCTAAGTAGAGTAGAAGCGCTTAGGGTGAGAAGCTGACTTAGTCCTTGCGAAAAGTTGGAATGGAAAAGGAGGAATCATTAAGTAGGGAACTACAGGTGCGGAAACGCTTCGCTTGTCTCAACTACCTTCCCATCACTTTCCTTCTCAGATATGCGCTATTAAGTTTCACTAAGTACCCAGCATCGCATTTAAAGCTCCAACTTTGCACTTTCACATAGAGCTGTTGGTTTTCACATGTAGCATTTCATCTCCAACCTTTACTACAGTTGTTCTTATAGAGATACAAGTGTGATTAGTTTGTTGTCTAAACCATTTTCGATCTCTCCGGGTCTAAAAGACAGTTTTCCTTCAAGTGGACTCTACGATTGGAAGATATACGTAAGATTGAGGCATTTGAAGGTGTAGAAAGTGCACAACCATGTTCACTCTTAGTGTTACAGTATTTCCAGCTGAATCGCACTTCGTCAACGATTGCTTCCTTTTCTTTTGGCGTAGTTCTTACCATCATGTCGATGGGGCCAGATTTTTTGGGGTGAGCACGTAATGATCTGATCGCTTCTTTTTCAATGAATCTTTGTACTTTTAAGCCATCACCTTGCTCTTAAATGAAGCGATTGCCAGAAAGTTTAGAATAGAGGTAGAGGATTAATGTGAACTGTTAGGTATGCCGCACAAAAAGTCATTTTTGCGGAGAGCGTTGAATTATAATGATGATTGGCTACGTCAAAGACATGCATGAGGATTCTGGACGGAAGAAACTCGCTTTCCGCGGTGGTTTGTGGTGCAATTAATTGCAACTGGAGCAGAGTTTCACGGACAAATGATTCGTTTCATGACTTTTATTAACATTCATCTTAATTCCGTCACATAAATGAAACATTAAAAAAGGTTTTTGGAAATGATTAAGTGAGGTTTCATACAGTTGCGTCATAATCATGAGGCCGAGTCATGACCCCCCATTCGGGTTACTGGACGGTTGGTTGTCCATCCTAAATTTCGTTTTAAACAATTTGATTTGCAATCAGTGTCCGCCTTTCACTTTAATTGTTCAATCACTTCCCACGGCTACCGTTTGCTATGCTTTATTCCGCCTTTGAGATTTACTGCTTTGACTGATCCTTACTGTATTTAAATGGAAAGATTTTCAGCATTCACCTTTATTGTGCTCTATGAAAACTTCAACTAACTGTGTATACACAAGAGTTGGTGCTCCGGATGCCGGACATGATCTCTCTGTGTTGCATTCATCATCAGAGCATTCATCTTGCGCTCAACATTATAAGGGAACTTCATAATATTTCAGGCCAGAGGCATGATTTTCCAAGTCCTTTTTTACCCTAATTTTTCATCCTTGTCTTAGTCCGAAGAGAAATCGTAAGTGCAGACTTTTCGAAAAGGAGTTTGAGCTACGTCAAAGAAGCTTTTTCTCTGACACTCCCAGTTCTCATGTCTTTTATATTTATAACTGAAACTGTGAGTAGCCAGGGGAGGGATAGTTGGTCGCAGAGACCATTCAAGTTGAGATGTATAACGACTTACACTCTTTTTAGATGTAGATGTTTTTGAACGCTTGCGCTTTGGAAACTTCTAAAGCATGGCATTTACATAGGCTTGAATCCTTGATGCTCATTTGTCTTTTTTATTGAACGTAAAGGCTGGCAAACATTTTTACGCTTCATATCGGTTATCTACTACCCTCCCTCGCATTCGTGGAGCTTAGAAATGGTAATTCAAGAATCCTTTTTTGCCACGACTATTCGAGTAGAGGTGCCTTTCTGTCATGAACACTCAAGATGGCAACTGTGTACGACTTTCACTTAATCTTGGCATGACATCTTTGAGTAATAGTCCTGCTTCTCTGAGGCCAAGCCAGACTCGACCGATATGATTTAGCTTCTACGTCTTCAGAAGAGACATTGGAAAGGAACAAAGAGCAAATTAATTGGAGAAGGTGTCAAGCTCTTCTTCAGCGGAGGAATGAAATGGCGTAGCAACTGCGATGACTGACTCCCTCAGACACTGTGTCTCCGCTGTCAACAGGAATAGCGATCGACCGTGAAAGTAGACTCAAAAGGAGGGTGCTCATTCCAAAGGGCCTAGGATTTCTGGTGGCCTGAACGGTCACGTTGGACGAAGGAGGCTAGAAAGGATTTACAACTTGGGGAGAGTAGGAGCCAGAACGAAGAAAGGGAGAGGATTATCGTTAGTATGAAAATCGTCCTTCAAGAAGTTGTAGAGTGTATCAAGGTACAGCGTCTCGTCGAAGTGGCCCCGCAGCCCAGAGCCCTTTTAGCAGACAAGGAGAACAAGCTCCCAAAAAGGCAATTGTGACGAAGGAGAGGCGAGTTCAACGCTGGAAGCTGCACCGTGCTGAGAAGAAGGTTGCAAAAAAGCATCTTGCAAGTTGGTCACCCGTATCGTCAAGGTTCGATTTAGCAGACCAAGGAGCAGCATTGTGGGGGTCACCCTACAGTGTACAAGGAAAAAGCTGGGCAACTCGAGGTGGACTCAGAGGTGATAAGACAGCATGGTTCTGGAAAGGTAAAGCTCAGCGATTTGTAGAACAGAAAATGAACGAATACAAAGGCTGGCAGAAGATGAGGTTCCCAGAAGACCCAGCTGTCCACAGGATCTGCAAGAGGCTTGCTAATATCACCATAGCAAAGGCAAAGAGTACGGAAAGACAAGGAGAGAAGTTCATCTTCAGGTTGGTCAAAGCCTGGTATCGAGTTACTGACCAAGGAAGGGTAGTCTACTTACCATGGAACTTTGAATGGAGACCCATATTAATCGATAGAATTTTGAATGCTATTTACGTACATATATGGGAACTGAAACTGCAAAATTGCTCTCATAAAAAGGTAAAACTGTTGGAATGCGATTTCAAATGTCTATGTGGCATAGTGGTAGTGGTCTCTCTACGCAGGCAGAAGGTACGGGGTTGCTCCCAAGGCGGTCAAGATCTTTGCATTGTGTTTTCGTTTAAATGGAGACTTCCAAAGCCTTTTCCGACATTCGTTCGAACGAACACCTTATTTCTGCCTTTATTTGCACTTGTCGCACGTATTCAGGTAAGAATGGATCTACATGTTGATTGTATGACTCTGATCACTTGAGGTGGAAGAATCATTCAATAGAAAGTCGTCAAAGATGTATAAGGTGCCTCCCAATAAATGAATCATTGACGTAGCATCGGCAGGTATGAAGTGAACTTCAACTTTGCATCCTATAATAAAGTGCTCGTCAAGAATCGAATCGCACCGCTTCACATATGCAATGTTCAATCGCGTTACATATCTTCGGGTACAGCTTGCATGGTGGTGTCGGTATCCTAGAAGAATGACCACAAGTCTACAATAAGATGCAATTCCTGTGAGCACTACTCTCAAAAAGGCTAGCCTAAATCCAGTCGACTATGGCACCTTTGTCATTACATATGTTTGCCTTTTCGGAGATCAGACTGAACTTGAAGCTATGAAGTTTTTCCCTCAATTTTCTGAAACGCACTTGGTACAAGCAGGGGACGTTGGTGGAAACCCAGGTTCCGGTGCCACTTGTGGCGAGCAGTTGTTCAATCTTGGGACAAATAATTGTTTTGTCTCCGTTGAAGGGAAGCAGCATGTATAGGGTGAGCAGTTTGTGAACAACGTGTGTGCTTCATACATCTAATTCAAGTTTTTCCAACAATGTTGACTCCTCACAGTCACCTTACACATCTCTGGCGTCATTCCGTTGAAAGTATCTTCAATTAAATGTAAAACAGAATCATACAATCAACATGTCGATTCGTTCTTCCTTGAATATGTGCATTAAGCGCAAATGAAAGTAGAAGTAAGGCGTTCACTCAAACAAACGTCAGAAAAGGTTTTGAAAATCTCTATTGAAATGAAAGAACACAATACAAAAATCTCGACGGTGTCGGGAAGCAAACCCGAACCTTCCGCCTGTGAAGCGAGACCATTATCGCTATTTCCCATCGACATTTGACTTCTCATTTCCAATTGACACTACTGTCAACAGAAACGAAAATTCAGCACGGCACTTGGCTCTCGCAGTAATCCGGCGTGGCATAACCCCACTTTATTGAGCAAATTCTCACCTATCACATATAGAACGCGTCGAAAAGGGACCTTGGGGGGCAAGGGCACGTGGTGGATGGTTGGTTAAGAGCCGAGTGCCCTTACCAGGTTTTCTTTCCGTCCACTGTCAAGCAAATTTCGAGCCCCCAAAGCTTTTTTAGGAGAGACATTTTGCAGTTCAATTTCCATGTTCGCAAATATCATTCGAAGCTCTATCGATTAATATGGGTACCCATTCATAGTCCCAAGGTAAGTAGACTACCCTTCCATGGCGAGTACATCGAGTAGTCGGAGTAGTGAAAGCTCGATAAAATGGTTTTTGAGATGCCCTCTTGATATAAATCTTAAGCCCTCGTATACAATATGTAGCGCTGACAGGTCGGCAAACAGCCTAGATAGTGCGTTATAAGTTCTAAAAGATTGTTCCGGTTGAAAGCCACACTAAAGGCGGACAAGTTCTAGTTGTTGGGGCCGCACTTCTCACAAATTCACCTATGCTGGAATTCTAGACACTTTGTTATGACACATGTGACAGTGAAACGCAGTTTTGAATAAATTTGGCTTCATGTTGCCAGCCCTTTGCACAATTCAACAACTGAAATTTCTAAAATACTCCCCCATGTCGTTTCGCCATGAAATTCTCGTACAATCTCTATTCTCGATATATTCAAGTAGCCTTCTTCCTCAAAAGTCGGCAGATTTTCTCGTTCTTTTCTCCACCGATGCACCATTATCGACCAAATCTTTTGTTTCCCGACTTAAATGCACAGTTCATGATGATTTTTGGGTATCCAGTTTTCGAAGGATAATGAAAGTGATCGTCCAGACTAATGCAAATAAGGTGAAGAGAACGCGAGAATTAGAGTATTCAAAGAAAAACAAGGGTTCGGAAAGTAGTGAAATCGTGGGTTGGACGAGTTTCAGACCAAAAAATGGCATGAAAGTGGTGATTGGAAAAAATCTCCCTACTATGTTTGCATTTGCGTACGACTGGAACTGAATATAATGCCGCTCAAGAAACAAACTTCATCATCTTCTATTATTCTTCTGCCTTATGGATAGTCTGCTGCAGCTGTGCATGCAGAAAATTGCAAAATGACTGCAGCAGGAAAAAGAACAGCAGAGAATAACAGAAGCGGAAAACATCCCGTCACTCGGCGATTAGCTGACTGTATGCTGAACGAGTGGTCCTGGTGCGAATATTGCAACCTGTATCGCCTCCAGGCTCTTCTGACTTAACACGGTCGACGGGCGTGGCATCCCATCGATCCGGTAATGGGGCTAATGTTATCGGCTACTGATGCTGTCGGATTCAAAAACTCAATGTTAAGGCTTATTGCCCTAGCCCTTCGGTTTTTGGGCCTGAAAGCGTCAATTCTGTTACCCTCAGGGGCCACTGGGCAATTCTGATGGGAATCTAAGAAACCATTTTTAACGTGAACTGTGCCTTTGAAAAGGGTTACTTGGAATTATAGCGAACTGTGGCTCTAAAAAAAATCGTCGGTGCTAGCCAGATCACGTGATTATTGGCTCTCTTGAAGTTGTTACGAAGTTCCGTTACGATGTTGAGCGGGAGATGAATGCTTCGGGCAATATAAGGAGATGTTGAACACTGTAGCTACTAAGCGAAGAATGTCGGATGGGTGAAAAAGCAATATCATAATGTCCAATTTTGTACTGAAAGGAGACGCGATGGAGTGTCTAAATATTGCAGAACCAGGTCGATCGCGCCCGGAATGAAACTCAATGAGCGGCTATCCAACTCAAGACCGACCTCACGATAGCTAACAGCTTCATACACCAAAGTTCTAAAAAGATCTTCACAGCAAGGCAACTGCGCCACGCATAACTTTCTTCGTTACTTTTGCGTAATGTTGAAAGATCTTTTCCAGATCGCTGTTGAACCTGATCTTGTGCAAAGAAGGTGATGATCATAACAGCAGCAGGAGGTTATCACATTAACGTCCAGTAAGCATCACTTTCTGGTCGCAAGTAGGTTGTCCAACTCGACTTGCGTTCTTCAATTGTGAACTTCCTTGTCCAACGGTGATATCACTTTTTTTCGAAAAAAAAATTACCTTGGAAACGTCGAGCCGCCGATAGAAGTCGTGCAGGACGGTTTTCGATCTCGTTCCTATTTGCCATTCCAAACTTTCCAATCTCGAACCCGTCTTCGGGAATTCACCAGGCTTCGCATTAGAGTCCTAACAAAAGGTCTCGCGTCAGTCTTATCTTAGTTTCTTGGAGGGCAATCACATCAATCATGTCGTTGACCACCTCGAGTACCTCCTCAAAAATGGAGTCGGAGAAAACTGTTTTCACGTTTTCATAGATATGAGTAAGAAGCAGTCCCCTGTCGCGCGGGGGTCCAATGCCGGTGGCGGCTGAGCCCAGTGTGCGGGGTACTGAGACCGTTTTATTGCCGATCCTCAACATGACGACTTTATTTTAACCCTGAAAAGGAACATGAGTAAGAATTCTATCCACTACTAAATTACTAACATCTTGGAGACATAGTAGGTTGGTGTTGTGTGTCGTGTTCTTGGGAACTATTTATTTATTTATTTATTTTTTTATTGAGAGCGTAGACAAGTCTACGTGAAGTAAGCAGCGAAAACGCATATAAATCCAAGTAGGACAAGGGCGCGCGATAAAACGCTATAATACCTGTGCGCAGCAAAAAAGAACAAAACAGTAACTAAAAGAACGTCAACGACACAACTCAAAAGAAGATTAGATGAAGAACCCCTGTAAGAACTAACATAAGAAAACATGATACTAAGCTACGGAGGCCAGCATTTTGAACTGGATAAGGGAAAGAACAAGCGTATTTCGACAAAATAATTTGTTGAAACGATTTAGAGTCCTAATAAGGAAACTATTGAACTTGACCTGAGTTCTAGAAATCGGGATCTTGAGCTTGATGCTACCTCTCATAGAGTTTGCCCTAACGACCTCAAAGAAGTCTGATGTGCTCAAACTCTACCAGTCAAGTAAAGTAAAGTAAATGACAACTAAGCAAAGCGATGAGATTGACCTATCGGTAGTTTCGGATTCTCTCAACTCAGGACCTGAGCGTATTTTTCAGTTGATACTGCTTCCTGAAAATTTGTCAGTTACTTGTTGGATTACGTGTTCTCAACTGTTGCCCAATGATTTCATCGTCAGCGTGTGCCGCTGTACATCAACACCGATTCTGATATATTAATCCTTGGACAGAGTTGTCTAAGGCCGTTATGCCTTTTGAGCGGCACTTTAAGACGAACAAGGTCTGTCTGCGCACCTGCATCAACATCTGTGCGATACCACTAGCCTAGAAAATGGAGTAAGAGCGAAGAATTATGGGGCAGTGGGCTCACCTTTAATGATGGCGCGGCTTCGCACTCTGATGAACTAGTCTTATCCTTAGTTCTTAACGTAGAAATCGAATCTCTGGCGTGAAGGAATATTTCACCTATCAGTCACCCACACTATGCATAACTGAAAAGGCACTGATGGTATTTTCCCTCTTCACTTATTTTCCTAGAAGAGATCATTCTTTTTTGCCTTTCGCTTTCTCTCATTCCCGCTGAAACAAACGACAGCAGTTGTCATCTTCCTTACCCTGTAGTGAAAAGTGATAAGTCCATATTCAGCTTTCCCCACCATGACGTTAAAGTATTTGTTGTCTGAATGGATGTGGATTTCTAGAAAATTCAGCCTCGTATAAAATTCAAAGTCGCTGTCATGTAGAAGAATCTTTGACTGCGAACGTGCAGAAGTAATAGCTAAGCAAGATGCAGACTGATAACAAGAATCTGTAGTTCACTGGCTTTAATCAGTGTGTACTGGTTTGAACGTGATGACCGTATCACGTGATAGCTTGCGGTTTCGAAAGAATGAATTTCCGTTCAGCAAGTCCAGAATTTCTTGTTGGCTCTCCGCTTTGCTGCTATTTCTCAGCTTGAGCAAAGCTGTCGGGCTCGCGCGCCTCCATTTTTAACCACATCTGATAGGGCAGCCAATATAGGATCTCCATTCAGGAAAAGCGTATCTGC